GTACAAAATAAAAAAAAAATCGAATTTAATATGTGTTGAAGATAATGTTGCCACAACTCGTGTCCAGCAGGTGGCGGTATAAACCTCAGCGTTCTTTACGATCCTCCATAATAGAACAGAAGAAGAAGAAGGAGATTTCATTGCAGCGAAACAAGTTGAAGAAACGTATGAAAAGTAGACGTCAGGTTTTAATATCCTACTAAACAAGGTAAATTTAACTTTAACTACCTGAAAAGGTCCTAAAATTGTGAAAGTTGTTTCCTGGTGTTGAGACGAAGAAGCAGCTAAAATGTTCCGTAGATAAATCAACAACAACTTACCGCCATGTGACATTATTTTCTTTAAAGAACAGAGACTGGATGTAGTTTTAGCTGTGTTCATGAAAGCTCGTTATGTTTGTTGAAAGCTAAGAGCATTCCTCTGCTGCCCGCCAGCATCATCGTTGTGTGGACCACTCTGGTCCTTGTGCAAGAGCTCAGTTCACCAGTAGTTTCCTGCACAAACTCTGCTTTACTTCTTCTGTGTTCAGCTATCAGACAATGAGCTGTTCTCTGTGTAGTTCTTCAGGTCTCTGACTGCTCTGTATGTTCACAGAGTCTCAGAGATCCTGTACCTGATGTGAAACTACAGCCTGCAGGATGAACAAACTGTCTTTGGGAGAAAAGTCCTCTTCAAAGAGAGTAAGGCACAGATGACACACAGTTTCCCTCAACAGGATCTAGGGATGTGGATACATTTTTAATCCTACACCAATATTAAATATGACAACAGACTCCAAAAGAACATTACAAACCATACAAAATAACACCAACATCCTGTGATTATCTGAAGTATGAGGGAAGTTATTGATGTTTCAGGTGAAATCAGCTCATGTCACCATCTGGTACAGACAATAATTCTATTCTATTCTATTCTATTCTATTCTATTCTATTCTATTCTATTCTCTTCTCTTCTCTTCTCTTCTCTTCTCTTCTCTTGCTGCAGTTCACAGCAGAACCAATGGGGCCTTTTTGACCATTTCGTCTTCTTGTTTTCTATTTTTGCTCATAACTTCCTCAGTGTTCAAGATATCACCATGAAATTTTAGGAAAAGATCCACATTCTGGTTTTTGTAGGAAGCATCTTGTATCCTAAAAACTAATAAAATTTAATAATAGCCAATGTAAAAGTAGCAGAAAATGTATAAAATAATATTACAAGGCAAACTGCAGCATCAAAGCAACTTAATGTGTCTTAGAAAGTAAGGAAATTAAAACAATTTAAAAACCATGTGGACGTGTGTTTTGTAAACAAAGCTCCTCAACCAATGACAGCGTGTTAAATGTGTCAGGTGACAAAGACGAGCGTCAAACAGTGTTGTATAAAGTACCTCAAAGTGATACTTGAGTAAAAGTACAAGTATCATCATAAAAATACTTTGGTAAAAGTCAAAATCTTCTCTAAAAATATTACTTTAGTAAAAGTCTTAAAAGTATCTGATATTTTTTGTAC